TTTTTAAATTTCTAGTACTAAATTCTATTTTATTATATTCTATACGCATTCCATTAATATTTCTTAAGCCCCATAAAGCAAGATCCCAAAAGAGCTATTATAATTGCCCTAAGCTGAGACGTTATTAAACTAATAATTTACATGGACACACATTGTCGTTAAAAACAATTTCGTGCACATAAACATAAAACCTCTGTGATTTATTGGGGGTTGGTCGATTATCCCCAACCTGGTCATACGCATATTTAAAGCGATAAAAAGGTCAGGACCCCCTCTTTTTTTGTGACTGTTGTTCAGATTGGCGTAAGTAAACTTATTGAATGTCTTAAGTTTAGCTTTTCCCGTTTGTTGACCGCCTTCTGCTTGTTTTCATTTCATTTTTATGACAACGTTTAGAAATTTGTTGTACATTTTCCTGTCGCTGCTGTTTGTCTTTCCGCTGCCGGCTTTTGGCCACATTTAGGCGAATCCTCGTACCCCGACTCCCTGTATTGACATTTGATCTTTATGTTGGTCCTGCTCTATACTCGTGTGTCGCTTTGTTTGTCTGCAGGCATCTTTTTATGACTCGAGTGTGTTTGCCTTTTGGCTTTTGTGCATGCCATAAAAAGCGGCGACAAGAAAAAGCGTCTTGGAAATCAAACTTCTTGCCAGGATTCAGGGTTGGGTGTGGGTGAGGCAAATATGAGGTCATCTGTTATGAACGCCTTCGAATGGCTTGAGAAGCCCTTGGGCAAATACAACTTGGGGACTGACTAAAGATGGCAAGGTTCAATGAGTTTGACTGCGGAAACAGAAGCTTATTTGGGCTTTCCAAGCATCGGTGAAATTTAACGATAAAAATCGTTTTAAAAAGTATAATGAAGATCCCGTGCATGCTTTTAAAGTTTTACTCGTGGTTTGAGTTTAACCTTTTAAGTGTGGTAAATAATAACATTTTAGTTTGATTTATAATTTAAAGGTTATCCAGGCACTATATTATTTACTGCTTCACTTTAATATCGTCTTTGTTTACGTATAAATAAAATATATGTCTTCCACCCCAATCCAATGTTCCAAAAATATGTTCAAAACGTCATTTTCAATTAATATGAAATCAAGCATTAAAATTGAATTAGCAAACCGAAACTGAGAACAAATGTTTTCTCGGTCTGTCTGGTCTGGGCTGGGTGAAAACTTGGCAGCAACTTTGGCCAATTAGAAAATTATGTTGTTCGTGGTACAACGACAATATGTTGCCCACTTTGGCAGCGTCTTGAGACATTGCCAGAGATGGGCCCAAAACCACCGCCCGCATCCGGCAATAGTAAATATTGTTTAGTCATTTTGGTGAGCGGAGCGCTAATTTTGTATGTTAGCCGACGGCCAAAACCTGGCAAAAGTTCAGCTAACAAACAAAAGCGATAATTACAAGAAAACAAGCCAAAGACCAGGATGATTGGCAGGAGTAGGAAGACTGGGGTACTAGATGCCAGGACAACTTGCTGTCGGAACTTTCTTTGCATTAGTTTTGTGTGCGAGCGAATGCAAATAATTTACAAAAATTAAAAGCAGCAGCCAAAACTTTTTGACTTGCACAGAGCCAGGCCTTATTTATATTTGAAGTCTATCTGCACTATAAGCAAAACTAAATTTTTTTTTACAAACAAAATATAAAAATAAATTTAATAAAAAAATTTGTATTAATCGTAGCTAGATCCAAATGTAGTGTAATATATTATATATTTTGTTATATTATAAATATGTTGTATATTTTAAAAATCTTAAAAATTTAGCATTCAATGATTGTCAAAATTTTGTTATTGTGTGGGCTTTCCAAAAGGGTTCGCAGTTTATGTGCCTGTCTAACGGCATTTAACCTACGCCACTATAATTCACGCCGTTTCTCGACGTTGGCGGCATTTAAATGCAGCGTGCGCGGGCCTTTCCCCCAGAAATCCTGGATCATCGTCCCGGGAGTCCCACGATAAGCCAAACATGATTTTACGACAATGTTATTACCATCAGCGGTAGCAGCCAGAACAGCAGCTAAACGTTTGCAGGAGTCGGGGGAATCCCCACTGTATCCTTCCTCCTGTTGTTGTGTATGTTTGTATTGTGTTTGTTGAGTCGTAAAGGGGAGCTGAGTGGAGAAATGGGATGGGCTAGACCCTGGGGTTACACGGATGATGCTGACGTCGCCGTGATTGTTTAAAGTTATGAATAATTAAATATTTGTGCAGGTTACGGGAGTTGGCAACTCTCGAACTTTGTCCAAAAGGCTTATTCCATTAGGCTGACGGAAGATAAGGGCCTGTAGTAACGAAATTGAGCAAAATAACTTGATAATACTAACATCAAAATTAAAAGAAAGAAAATGTATACGATTTTGTTGGGCAGCGCAGATTTTGTAGACTTTTTATAAAGTTTTAATGTTACATTATTTGGCTTAATCGGACGGCAAAGCCCGTTGTGTCGTACCGGAAAATTTCTTATTGCTGCCCTCCTATTTCCAATAAATAATTATTTTTTTATTATTTACTAATATAGATAATTCGTGTTTATATTAATAAAAACATATTCTTGTAAATGAAAATAATTATTCCTGAAAAAAGTTAGTTAAAATTTGTAAAGGAGAAAAAAGTAAATAATAAAAAATTTTACAATTTGGAGATGCGGGGCATCGATCCCCGTACCTCTCACATGCTAAGCGAGCGCTCTACCATCTGAGCTACATCCCCTCTTGCACTTCCGCTCGCTAAAAGGTCTAGTTTTCTTCCACCCCACCGTGGAAAGTATTTATAAACATAATGGCTAAAACATGCAGTTCACCTTGTATAAAATGCGGCCTCGAAGATAACAAAAGACTTCAAAACTAGTTGTCCGCATTACAAATTAAAATTGGTCTATTTATAGCTTGGGCCAGCGATCATTTACTCATTTGAGCTATTTCGCCGCGTTTAAATTAAGAGGCTCAATGGTCTAGGGGTATGATTCTCGCTTTGGGTGCGAGAGGTCCCGGGTTCAAATCCCGGTTGAGCCCGGATTATGTATTTTGCCCCCCTCCTACTACTCTTTTTATCGTGCATATTCAAAACAGTAATCCAAAAAATAAAATTATTCTTATTCTTTTTTATCGATTATTTATCTATTTTAATTTCTAGAAAATCTTTTTAGTTTTCTGACTGCGTTATATCATTTTTCTTGCTTTGTCTGAGTTCTATTGTTTTCTGTAGTCTAAGACAGTTTAAAGTTCTTATTATTTCGATCATTTTATCTCATAATATTAAAACCAGTATGTGTCAAAATATTTCCCACACTAAATCTGGTTTCAACATTTTCTTCAAACCAGGTTTTGTGTTTCTAAGCATATCTCCCACTAAACTAGTCTGACTTTAGTTGCATAACAATGTCGAAGAGACTTTCACAAAAGGTCGACGACGAATTTAAATTGCCGTTAAATTAATCTGTGTCATTGCACTCAACACTTTGAATGCTTTTAACGTGATCTGTTGACCAAGCAAAAACCAATGATCATGGTCATGAATACTAAGCGATAAATCTTTTTTAAGACCGCATTTGGTCGTTGTTTTGACCCACAAGTCCTTGTACCACCAAAAATCAAAAACCGTTATATGGGGATGTAGCTCAGATGGTAGAGCGCTCGCTTAGCATGTGAGAGGTACGGGGATCGATGCCCCGCATCTCCAAGGATATACATTTTTTTATTTAAATATAATATTTCTGCATAACATTAATTTATTAAAGGATTACTTTTATTTAAACATTTATAAAAAGTTATAATAAGACTCTTTAAATTGTCTTATTTTACTGTAGATGGTAAATTAAAATTCAATCAAATAACGTGAATAATTTGATTTCCTTTGCTATTAATTTAACATCAGTAACTGTGACTGTTATAGATGATTTTCTTTGTCACTCGACTTTATTTGTAGCCATCCGTTTATAAGTAATAAAGTAAAAAAAGGTATCAACCTTGGAGATGCGGGGCATCGATCCCCGTACCTCTCACATGCTAAGCGAGCGCTCTACCATCTGAGCTACATCCCCTGGTGATCGCTGCTGGCCAAAATGGCTTGTCAGTTCACGGAATTGGAACCGAAATCACTGCATGAAACGATCTGGAATGAAACGACTAGAGATGCCCGCAATAACAGCCACCCAATTAATTTTCGCAGTTGCTTTGTTTATTTCTTGCTTCTCTTTATTATTTATTCACTTTGATTATAATTTAAAAACTGTCAATATTTACACTTTGCCGCAGGTTTATTCTGCCATAAAAATAACGAAAGCACAGACTCACACACAAATTTTTCTCGACGGCCCTTCTTTTCATTGTTTTCCAGGATTTATTCTTTGTGCGCGTCTCGTCCTTTCGCTTCTCTATTCAGTTACCTGCCAGCTGATGCATATAATTATGGAAATTTGCAAGTGGGCCCCGAACACAGCACCCCGAGCAAGCAAAACAAACCGAAATGAAAAATCGACGCGCAAAGTCAATACAAGATGCAAAGCAAATGAAATTTTTTATAAAAATAAGCGTCAAGACATTAGCATAAAGGAAAGACAATACAAACGAACATGCAAAATCAACATAAAAATTGATTATTTGATGTATTTTTATAGTCCTTAAAAAGCAAAGATACCTTGTCGGTTGGCCGTAAAAAATGTTGACCTTAAATAAAATTTATAACTTTTATGTACTAATTTATTTTTTAACAATATTTTATTGTTGTATTTAATTTCTTATCTACCAAATAATATATTCTGAGGGTATTAATCTCAGTAGTAAGAAACAATTGTATTAAAGGGATATTTGGTTAAGAAAATGTGTACAAAGCTTACTAAGCTATAAAAATATTCATATAAAACATTTAAAAATACATTTAGATAAGAATAATCTGCAACACTCGCTTTTACTATCTGCCAATTTGAATTGCCGCCCGACGGCAGACGAGGTGGCAGCACCACCACCCGATTCTTCTTTTGCATGACAATCGATAACAAATCAGCTGTCTACTTCGCTCTCTCGGAAATTTTGTAAACGTTCTGGCGTATTTTATTTTATTTATTTTGCTTTCTGTGCAATCTTTCGGTCCTAAAGCAAAATTAGAATCCTGTAATGTTTTAAGGACGCCTGGCGGTTGAAATTCGGTCGATTTAAAGCACCAAACAGTACAAACACCGTCGCGGTCCACTGGCCAAATGTGATTCGCATATGCCTTAACCAAAATAAACATTTTCTACCGGGGTTATAATGCCATTAGATTGTTAAGTATTCGCAGTCATGAGTGGACCCCAGCAGCCAGGTGACTCGGGAGCAGCTCCCTCAAAAGCTGGCGGGGATTCGGCCAACTGGCCGGGACGGAATGCCACCGGCGGAGCACCGGGCCACTCGGGTTCCCAAGGTTCAAGTCCCAACAGCTGGTAAGTCAGTCCTGCATATTCCCAACATATTAATTCAGTTCTCTTTGCAAATCGGACTGGATAAGTCAGGACGGGAAGAAAGGGAAGGGTAACCCTGGCCAACTTCTGTCAACCAACTATTGCCATCTAGAACCTTCTTTAAATGGAGTTTACACTGCTTTTCACTGGCGACAATTTTCTTATTGTGATCTGTAAAGATTGCGAACTCTAGTTGTTGTAAATGTTTCGATGCAACTAGACTTCCTAAAATTGTATTGCCCAAAAACTTAGTTTCCTGAGTTACTTTGTTATAAATACATAGAATTGATTTTAAGTGGAAATTTAAACAATTTTAAAAAATAATAACTTTTCTAAGATTATTGACTGCTTTAAGTACATTTTTGTTATTTCTGTAAGCTTTTGGTATGTTCAGTTTAAAACGTTTGTGCTAGGGTAAAACCCTCCCCAAGTAAATAGCCTACGTTCGCAAATTCCCGGCTTTTTGCATGATTTTCTGTTATGATAATGAGGCCAGGCCACTCACGTGCTTACTAATTTTATGACGCCCCCAGCTTCTTTCAGTATCGCAAAAATATAATGTGTTGCGTACGAGATTTTTTTAGCCGCCCCCCAATGTCTCGTTAAAAAGCTTACCTAAACAAATTTTGTTGCTCTGTTTTGCATATTCAAGTGCCTATGTCCTATAGCTTTGAAGTTGCCATTAAGGAATATGAGATACGTCCTTAGGAACTAATAAAATATAAAAGAATTTGGTATAGGTCATTGATACTAATGGTAAATGCAAAAATAAGTTGTTGTACGCATCCTAGAAGAAACTGGGAAAGGAATTGGGTTACTGGATCGTTGATATCTGGGTGCTTATATTTGCGAATGATAAGATTCGTCTTGAAAGGAGGTTGGGCTTGACCTTACACCCATAAAATATCATTAAAATATTAGGTTTATTGCCATTTAGCACCCATCTCGCACCCTGACACTTTTGGCAACATCTGCTGGCAAGCAGAAAAACAACGAGAACAAAAAAGGCTCATAATAAATATAAAATGGCAAAAACGTGTCGATTTCCTCTAACAACTTGAAAATGATTTGTTTCACAGTCTGCGGAGCATATTAACTTCGATTTTCAATTCACTGCAGACTTTGCCACACATCAAAACATGGCATATGGAGAACATCGGGGTGTCCTTTCCACCACCCAACTACTTGGCCAATTTTTTGCCAGTTAGGCAAACGCAAAATTCCATTTTGGCCGCAAAAGTTGCCAAACAACGAAATTTAGGAGAAAGAGACTCGGTTTGTTTGTTTGTTTGCTGGGCCAACGAGCGCTTGTCTCAATGACGTTGGTCCTTAGCCATAACCTGCGGCACTGTCAGCTTCATCTTGTTAACCAAACAGGCCAAACAGCCGCCGACTCCATCGCCCAAGACAAAGGACCCACAGAGGAGCAGCAGATGCCGAAAAAGTCTAATTGATGGCCCTGTTCGAACCTGCATCTTGACCATTTCCGTTCGTCTGTCGATATGCATGTCTACTCAATTTTCCGGCAAATGAGTCGCCCTCATCGTCCTCAAGAACAACAAAAATTGATTGGAATTTGCAACAAGCGGATACAAATTTTTTCCCCACCTTGTTTTCCACATTTTTCTGTTACTGTTTTTCTCTCTCTTGTATTTTTTTTTTTTTGCATTTTTTCCCTCGACACGTCAACACTTGTCTTTTGTGGCTTTAGCTACTGTTGTCCTTTTTTATTCCCTAGCTTTTCTCTATACTTTCCTCAGAGGCAGTCAACACATGGAGCCACTCATAAATGTCGAAAGTGAGGTGTTTTTTTTCCTTTCGGCAAAGTGTATGCAGAGTGGAATATCAAAAAACAATTTAAAGTACAATTTTTTTTAGCTCTACACTGATATCTTCGTAATTTAATTATTTAGTCAGATTATAATGAAACAACTAGTTCCGGTTTCATATTTAATTCTATTCATTTAACATTTCATAAGGTATTCATAATTCGAGTTCCGATTCTTATACTATTAACAGCACTTTTTTCTCTTGATCACAAATTCCTTGCCAAAATCCCTAGTTAATTGCTATTTCCCATTTTTCAAAAAAAAAAGGTTGACCAAAGGAATTAATGTAATTAATAAGCTTCAGCTGCACATGTTTTCCAACTGAAACGCTGTACTTTTTTCGTAGCGTAAAACAAATAAAAAAAATTACTGAAAAGGTAAAAATTAATTATAAACAAATCTTTTCATGTCACCAACGGAATTTTCGACACTTTGGCGCATTTTTTAGTTGCCCAGCCAAAATTTCACAGCAATTTCTACGGGATCTTCATTTTTTCCCTCACTTCCATGACCACTTCCTCTCCAGAGCAATTGTTTAGGGTCACTCAAAAGCACATTTCACTTATTATTAGCTCATTTATTACCCACCAAAGGCGCCTGACCCTGGCAGCACCTGGAAAAACTTTGTGAAAAATGCTGGCCAATACAAAAAGGCAGGAGGAAAGAAATAAAAAAAAAGGAAAAATCCTCCCAAAGTTCCCCAGCTGCTATTCTCGTTGGGCACCTTAAAATTAACACATAAATTTTCAAGAGGGTGGCCAACGGCCAGCGGCTGGCTACCCACGAGATACTTTTAGTCCTGCCTGCTTTTTTTACAAAAGCGTAGTAAAAAGGGGATTACATTTCAATAATCGACAAGAACGACATTACAAACTATATCGTATAAGTTTTAAGCCCTTAGTCTGGCTACAAATTTAGTTACAATAGTATTTTAATAAATGATTAATCCGGTTTTCCCTTTTTGGAATCACCCTTTTCGGCCTACGCCCCTGATTGTGGGAGGCCTGTCATTGAAGTTTCCGTGTGAGTGCGTTCAATGTTCAGGACCCATCACTCATACCACTGAAATTCCTACGAACTGGGCAATTGACGTTGAAACTACGTGACGCGGGAAAGTAAATTGTATCTGCGGGATTGCCAATGACAGTGACTTTCCTTTATTCGTTTTTTATTGTGTGCAAATTGGCCACCTGATTTTCCCCAACTTATCACTTTTAATTATAGACCACTAAATTAAAATCCATACTGAATATTGGCAGGGGTATATTTATAATGTCTGCCTTCATTATCAACTCAAATGCAGGCCTTAAGCATAAAAATCAACTTTACCACTCCCGTGAATCAGATAACAAAAGAAATCCCAAGACAGTGAAGGGAAAATGTAAAGAAAGGACCTCAGAAATGCGGAAATAAATAAACGTCGCAACTTTCTTGAAATCCCGGGAAGGGCACATTTTGAATAACAAAATTAACAGCAGCCCCAACTTGCAGCCTCTACTCCTTGTTTAGTTATGCATTTCTTTAGCTTTTTTGCAATCTTTTTATTTTAATTTTTTATTTATGTTTTCTCCCACTCCCATAGGCGACAGAACAACTCAATGAAATATAATTCGCGACCCTGGCATCGAGGCCGTTCGGACAGGCAAGTTTTTCTTTTTATTTTTCTTCATTTTTCCATTGTCTTGTATTTTTTATCCCTTTGTGCCATTTGTTTGTGTCTCCCCGTATTTGTTTGCATTGCGTGAGCTCCTTGGCTTAACGCACGCTTGCACCTTTCCCGCCCAACCAAAAGTCGGGCTCATCCTGCCAACAGGACGATCCCTGGTGGCAGCCACATTATTAACACTTGACTAAATATGCATTTCTTGGGTGGACGCCGTTGACAGCGCCAGAAGCGTTAACAAGGTCTGCCCGCAGGGTAGAAAGGGGAAGATTGGGAAATACCAACAGTCATACTAGCAAGCTCGTCGAATATTTTAAAAATTGGTGTGGCTAAACAAAAATGTACTATTTTGTCTGCTAAAAAGTTGAACTTTATCAAACAAATCTTTCTGAAAACAAAATTTTAAAAATGCTTAGAACCTAATTTTTTAACAAAAGGATTAAGAAGGCTAGTTATTTTTGAGCATTCATTGCTCCATGCGAGTAGACAAAATCACAAACTTTAAACTGAAAATCATTTCCTAAAAGTCTGTGTTCAGCTGTGTTTAAAAACGGCTTAAGCGATTAATTTTAATCTGCGCATACACATTCAACATTAAATTTTATATTAAAATGAAACATTTTGAAATCCGATAATTTTTAAAAAATAACGTTAAAACGCAAAGTTTGTCCTTTTGTTTATGCTTTGCGTTTTATATTAATTCGTTAAAAGTTAAATATTTATAATATAATTAAGTTGTTCCGGAATGTATCCATTACTGTTGCGTAGTTTAGAAATAAAACCAAATAAGGGTCTAAACTCGATACTACTATAGAAGCAGACATGAAAAGGATCGGGACAACAGCAACATGCAGCATGCGTTAGGAAATTATATTATTTAGCTAACCATTTGAGCGATACTCTTTGTAAGTCTCAGTAAATACACGGATTTTTTGCGAACGCATTCCCAACGTGTAACGGTAAATCGTTACCCACCACCCGCCCAACCGACGCGCGGGGCGACAGCCGCTTAACGCACGGCTCGTAGAACCCGATTACGGCAAAGGTCCGGACCCTGGCCTTCATTAATATAAATTTATTACGCGTACGCGATCAGCAAGTTCAGACACCCATCTCAAGGATTTCCTGGATAATTTTGTTGGAATCGAAACGTTTAAGCGGATCACAAGCCCCGGATCAAGCGGATTGTGCCAATGTTTAGCTCTTGTAGCGGGACTAATTAAAAGTTACATACGAACGGTTTCAATTGGTTGTCTTTCTTTGAGCCCTACCTGTTCGGATTCGGAGTCTTACAGTGAATGTTATTTAATTGTAATCGATCTTAGAGCTAAATTGCCTATTTAGATGCATTGTCCCTATTTTGTGATGGTTTAAGTAAGGTTTTCTAGATTCTGACAGATATGGCTAATACATTGGCTATTGGCATACATAGTGGCCCTAAATTGGTTACATATAGTTTGTTGTTATACATACTTCATTATAACATTATTTTTCTATAGTTTGATATTTAGCCCTTTTAGGGCTTGATTTTGTTGATTTGTACCGCTTTAAAAGATCATTTTTGTATCCTTGCGTTTGAGGTCGTGCGACCAGCATTTTCGTCTGCGAACTCATGGTGTCTTACTTACAGTAGGTTCGACCCAAGCGAACTGACTGATGGTGCGATGAAATGCTTTGAGCGGCCTTTCGTGGGCTTGGGATACACCACACTGGTAGGATTGGTTTTCTAGAAAATGAGAAAGATAAACCTATTTAAACTAAACAAATACGTTATTAAAATTTCTAGTTAGCTTTGTTTTTTATTAAAATAAAAACCTTTTTATTATTGTTACACTGAAACAGCTAACAACACATATTTATATAATTAAGAATCGTAACAAACATTTTTTTATATGGTTCGATTTTTATCAAATTAGTCATCCTCAAATATAATTCCATTGCGATTAAACTATTCACCTCAACCCAAACCATAACAATACAACCAACGTTATCAAAGAAGTCCTAAGGTTGTGTTAAATGTATATTATTGCTTAGAATCATATCATACCAATTTTACGAAATTGTTTTAAATTGGAAATTGATCTTATGAACGATCATATATATGTAACTCGAGTTCCACGATGACATATGACTAAATTCACGATCTTTTTATAATAATTAAATTTTAATATCACATATGAATATAAAGGTATATATTTTATAAAACTACATCTTATTAAAAGTTCTATGTTAAATTTCACCACTTAAGCCTTCATTTCACCACACTTTTCCACCCATCTACCCCATTACTCACCTTGGTAAGCGCGGGGCTCACACTCGCGTCCGTAGTGTTGGGCTTACCCAATTGCCGTCGCTTTGGTGAAGCTGCGGAACTTAAGGAATTTTGACTTGCAGCGATAAAAATACTCTTCAGATAGACTTTTTCGTATTTTTTTGTTAGTTCTTTTTTGGCGGCTGGCTTCTTGGGAGATGGAGTTAAACTCGAAGTCGGGACTCTGGTAGTTGAGACTCAACTGAGCCCGTGCACATGGCCTAACTGACTTTTATAGCGAGGCCGTCAAATGGCATGCGCCGAATTTTCATTCATGCTATATAGAGCCGTATGTAAAGGACCCCAGATCCCCATACCCCTGTCGATGTCTTGCTTATTGTATTGTTGTATATGCAGTTTACCAAACAAAAATCCCAACACACACACTCTCACTCTGTCCTGGCGCCGAGAAGTATGCAACAGCCAACCAGAGAGTCATTTCGGATTGCAACGGCACTTCGGGAAAGTGGGAGAGAGAGCGAAAGAGATAGAGAGAGAGAGAGAGAATCTATTAATTGCACGTGCTGCAGTTGTTGTTATTATTGCTATTGTTGTTGGGTTTTATGTTGTTTTGCTTGTATTTTATTTTATTTCCCCCATTGCCGCTTATTCTCTCCCTCTCCCACATTCTCCCGCTCTCGGCTGTCCTTCGTGAGAGGCTAACTAACGAAGCTCTAGTCACGAGGATTGCTCTGCTCCTTCTTGGCCTGTTTACCGTTAGTCGCACTCGGTCTTTCCAGCTCGCTCGTTCGTCCTTCGCTCTGCCGGCGTTGCAAGCGTATGCGGAGGAGTGGGTGGGGGTGGGCTGTTGGTTGAAAACCCCTCCCCCTTCACCACTGCTGCATCCTATTTAGTAACATTTTTGTTGTTGTTGCTGTATTTTGCATTGTTTTGTGCTGTGTTTTGTTTTGCTGCAGCTCTCGGGCCGTGACTTCGTGTTATGTATACCGTTATGATCGTCGGCTCGTCGCCCGTTCGCTGCATGCGACCTTACAAGTGTGTGTGAGTCCTTTTGTTGTGTTGTATAGTTGGTTATGTACTTGATGTTGTTGTTGCTGTTGCCGCTGCAGCTATATTGCTATTGCTGTGTGTTGTGCTCTCTAAACTTCGCCCGCCCCCAATTGAAAAAGGAAAACAACGAAATAGTATAACCGAAGCCAAAACCGGCGCTTAACGGCACTTCCCCCAAAAAGGAACTGCCCAGTATTGTGTTGTGTAGTGTTGTGTGTTGTTGTCCTAACGGTAAATGCTCGATCCGCCGACGCATCTATTTATTTCTAGGGAGCCCGACTATTAAATGCGGATATACGTAAATAGCTAATTGTTATATTTTGAGAATTATTAAGAAACTCCTTTATGTATTTATGGTCGTTATTATAGGGAGTCTATAATTAGAAAATTATTTCGGAAGAATTTTTATTTATATTATTTATTTAAACTTTTTAAATTAATTGAGAATACTTTTTAGTACTATACAACATAAAGTTATCATAAATAGAATGGCGTCAAATGACGATGATGTTCAACCGCAGGACATTTATTAAAAGTGTGTTAACAAAACTGTGAATTTGAAAGTATTTTGCCTTGAAGACTTCAATTTTTGTATAACCGTTATTACTATACAAAACATGAATTCTCAAATATTAAAAATGAGTTCTTAAATTAGGAATCGAGAGATTTAAAATTATGCGTTTAACTAAAATGTCCCAAACATACAACCACTACTAGTTGAATTAAGATGATTAAACACTTTCAATATCTTTCTACCCCAAATCAAAGCTCAAAAGTAAACAAGCAATAACCGCAGAGAAAGTCAATCACAGCCAGTCGTCAACAATCGCAGGCAACCAACACGTAAACTTCCGTTTCCGGTCTGTCAACCGCACGATGTTGACAACAAAAAAAATCGTAGCCTAACACGCAGGCTGATTTATATTTCACTCACAAAAGCCCACATACACACACTCGCCCTCGCACGCACACGCCGACAAGCAGAGTGAGCAATTCATAAACAATTAAGTGTCACTTTCACTTTGAGTGGTGTGTGAATATCGCAACAGGAGGCCATTTAACGCCAATGCAATTATTGTGATTGAGTTAACTTTGCTGGACTTCTGTGTGTGCTTGTGTGCGGTCAACAATTGTGTTGTTTGAGGATGTGTGCGTCAACAGGACGAGTTAATTACGCTAATATTGGATTTCAAACACATTTAGGAAGTTAGCTAGTTAATAAGTGGGACATGTTATGTTGGTTTTATTTTGATGGTTGACGGTATGTCCTCCGAATAAGAATTAGATTATATTAATATATTTTTTTACGCTCTCAGAAAAAAAATGGCGATGTATATTAGAAAATGGTATATATATATTAGATAACTTATCTTTTCGTAATGTGCCTACTTATTAAATCTTGTCTAATAAAATATTTGAACCAAAAATCATTATATCTTTTTTAACCAACTAAACTTCAACCAGTAAATTCACAATATTTTCGTCGAATTTCCTTGTTGTCACTCCTCACAGTACCACTCTAATTAAGGGAAACAATTTCCAAAGCTCAGAAACTAATCATAAAAATATTCTCTGTAAATCCGATTAGTAGAGACGGTTGATGGCGCATCTGGCAATTGAAAAGTTTAAAAGTTGTGCGTTTTTCTTATTCTTAATT